AATTTCTTGCATCAACAGATTCTGTTCTGTATTTCAGATGCGGTTCACTACATTATACTTAACCAATGTTAGTAAAAAAGAAATATTGTGATAGATCATATCAATGAAATAACTTTGCAACGAAATATTTATCATAGTGTAATTATCACGATATATCAATAGGAAAAGATCTTTGATTTTTATTTAAAAAATATTATTTGCAGAAATATAAATAATCTTATGATTACATATTATTAGGTCTACTGAAAAGTTTTGTCCGTTTGTGTTGAAACTTGAGACAGCATTATCGGACAGAACTTTACAGTAGACCTACTATTTAAGAGCATTATATTCTGTTTGTAAATACTCATTTAATTAAAAATTAGTACAAAGAGTTGAGTAAAGCCAATTTGGCCGTACAGAATTTTGACGTCAGAGATAAGGACACATGTGAAATTTTCAACTGGTATTTGACTACAATTTTTTGTTTTTCTCAAAATGAAGTTGTCTAGTGATTAATAGATGTGTAAAATGTGTTAGCTGGTCTATGTTTGTGTTGACATTCTGTTCATTGCCGAATAATCACCTTGGAATCCTAACCTGGCTATCAGGTTAATTTTCAGAGTGCTACCTTATATCATAGTGCACGATCCGTCATAAACGGACCAGCTGACACATTTTGTGAATACATAGCTTCTTTGTGTCATGGTTTTCATTAACAAATGTTATTCACTTTGTAGAATACCAATTGGGAATTTCACACGATTTCCACATCTGTGATGTCAAAATTCAATACGAATGATGTGGCTTTATCGGACCCTCAAATATTTCAAATCAGTGAAACAATCACTAAAAGACAAAAGTTACTTAATGTAAGATCATGCAGTAAGTAATTACTCATAGGATTTTATACTCTTTCATTAGTTTATAACAAAAATACTCCGAGTATATATATATACACACGTTAATGAATATTCAGTTAAAATTTAAAAATAATAGCATAAATGTCTACATAGCCTTAAAATAATTTATGATCAAGAACTTATGATAAGAAATGAAACATTACTGAAATTATATTCTCAATAACATTGACTTTAGCATCACTTTAATCATAATTACTGATTTTAAGAAGTTCAAAAGGTAAAGAAAAAAGCATTGCATCAACTTTTAAAAATGTCTTGTTAAAAACAATTAAAAATTGGATTTGTTCCAAGAACTTAATGTTTTTTTACTTTTTGAATCTAGTGAAGGGAAAGATATTAACCCTTTGCACTCGAGAGGCGCCGCTACAGCTCCGCTAGCAACTGGAATGACAAAGTCCTCGAATGTAAAGGGTTAAAAGAAATTAAACATTTGCACAGGAGTGAACATTAAAAGAAATATGTAGTACATGTGATAACCTAACCAATTCTGCAAAAGGAATATTACATAAAATATGTATACCCTGAATTCTCTGTATTTTATTCCCCTTAAACAATCCAATTTTTCCTCTTTGCACTATGTAAGCATCACACATATTCTGCATCAAATTATAAAGGAATATAAACATTAAATACTAGTCAGCCATTAAATCAATGTATACAAATAGTTAACATAAAACAAGGAAAAGCAAATAAAGTAATTAATTCTGTATTATGTTGCAGTATATTTAACTTTGCTCACCTTAGGTTGTGTTTTTCTATTTAAATCTCTCTCTGAACCATATTCTGCCATTGTTAAACTTCAAACAACTTGAAGTAGCTGACCAAATGCACAAAAATATTCAAACGTAAGTACTGCTTTATAACCATAGAGGTTATATTGTGTTCTGATAATCTATGACACTTCCCGCGGTGTGTACTGAACTACAGAGTATCTTCTGGACACTTCAGCTAATTTTTATAATTTTTGTTATGCTTTTTTCTTAGATATCTGACTCTTACTTGCAGGACGTTATTGTTTCGTTGAATAGTTCGATTTAACGCAGTTTGTGAAAAAGTTACCTTAAGAGGTACCGACGGTGGCGTCGTGGAGACTAAAAACAAAGAATTCAGAAGTCCCATAGAAGCCTAACTCCTATGTTAGTGCTTATTAATGCCCTAAAAACAGAGATGAGTTGGGAGCATAGATGAGTTGGGAGATTGCTCACGGGCAGGGTCGCGCGATCGCACCGTGTGCTGCCCTCTGATTTCGTACGTAAGCTTTCACCGTTTTTTGCCCCCAA